TGTCACATGAAAAGATATAATAAAATATTTACAAAAATGTGAGGGGTGTACTCACTTCTGTGAGATACTGTATATATATATATATATATATATATTTAACGTATGGCTTCATTTCTATCTAGAATAAGCTTCAGTTATTAAATATTTGCTTGCTTTTCTCTGTAACTGCATTTGGACTCTTAAGGGGCCCTATCATAGACCCGGCGCAATGTGGCGCAAGGCGCGGCGTAAGTGTTTTTGCTAGTTTCAGCCCGACGCAGTTCTCCTTTTCCCGTCCTGCGCCGCTTTGTTTAAATAGCAAATGCATTGCGCCCATTTGTGCGCCCATGGGGGTGCTGGTCTGAAAACGAGGTGTGTTCAGGCGCATTGCTGGCGCGTAGCTATTTTGAGGAACTGAAAATAGACTGTGCCATAGACCAACTCAAACCTGGTCTAAAGTCTGGCGCAATATTTTTTCTTTGTTATTTAAAGAGCGCGTTAGTAAAATGCGTCTGGGTAATAGGCGGGTGCACAACGCGCGTACACTTTGCTTATTACACACACAGGGCAGCAGCACACAAACATTTTTAAAAATGAAAAATTACATTCCGCCATGTAAATAGCGCTTTTAAAGGGAATGGGAGATTAGACTCTGATTGGTTTATTGCACGTTACGCTCAAAAAACACCATTACTCATTAAGAGAATAGGGACAACCTGTTTAGACCATGCGCCCGGGCGTGCCTGCCGTTTTCCTTTCGTTAAACTAGCAAAAGTGGATTCGGACACGCCCTGAGTGCACCTGCGCCGTGCGCTTTAGACCATGCGCTTAGACCGTTAAAATAGGGCCCTAAGGTTTAATGCATAGATCTGATGTTTTGACCATATTCTTTTTTTTGTCCCACCTGTTTACTTTTACACAACATGACTCGCATTCGATATCTGTGTTTACATCGATCTCCCACCCAAACTAGAATTATTCCTTCACTATAGAATTTAAGACATAGATTAGATGTCCAGATAACTGTAAAAAATGACCGTGAATTTAACGGTAAAAGACTGTAAAAATGCTACAGTAAAAACCTGTTAAATGGTTAACGGTAAATTCCCCTACTATATACGGTGAAAAACTGTATTGGACATTACATGTATTGGACATAAATTTTACGGTAGTATGCTGTTTTTGGAAGTGAATAACCGTAAATTGACATTCCCAGAATTTCCTGCTTTACATTTCAAATTTGATGTTTTTTTGTTGAAATAACTGTTTCTTCTTAGTTTTTTCTTATCAGTTTTGTATATTAGGGTTGTGTGTTACACCTAATGGTGTTAAATGAAAGTTTATTGCATTATTTCAGTTTCATGTGTGTTACCATGATGGTGTTTAGCGTTTGTGTGGATGACACTGTGCCCCTTTATATATGTGTTATTATTTAAAATCTGCTTGTGATGGGCTTTGGTTCATCATGTGACTTTCTCATCACCACCTGCATTTGGTGGTTATCAGTCAAAGGTACAAAACAGATTTCAGTACTTCAATAGGTTGGTATATTAACATTATATCAGTTAATGAAATTACGGTATTTAACTGTTACATATACATCTATATTACTTTTACTTTCTGCACAACTCTGCATATGATTGATTTTAATAACTTTAATGTACTTGATTTGTGCACCAAACACTAGGAATATACGAGTATTGGATCGGGACTCGGTATTGGCAGATAGTCAATATTCAATTACTCGGATTAGATTGGGGGCAGAAGAAACCTGATCGGGACATCCCTACCTCTTTTGCTCACCAAGACTACCAGAGGTTTGGGGTCAAACTTTGATTTTTATCCTATTATTAATAGATTCTCTTAAGAAAGAGCCTCTTTTTAGGGATGGCCTGAGCCAGTCATGGATCTAGATCGGTGCCGATCAAGCAATTTTTTAACTGATCGGTATCGGCTCTCCTCAGCCCGGTCCTTATTTTACATCAGCTGTCATGCTGGTGTCGTGCAGTAGGTGGCATTATACGCCTTTAGGTGGGTTTGCCAATTGCCATTAAAAAGAAAAGAAGAAGCTCAAACGTGTGTGTGACGCACGAGAACCATGGAGGTCTGTTCTAGCGCCTCGCACACTTCCGAGCACTTCAGTGTTCAGTGTATTTGATGCACACTTTCGAACAATCACTCATTGATTTATCATTTACTGTTATCTGCCTATTATCTGAGATGCCGTTGTTGTAACACGTTGCCGTGGGTTGCATCTTGTTTTGGATTTGACTGATAGACAGGCATTCTGACAACGTGAGCTTCATGCTTTCTAAACTTATCTCCACTTTGTTGCAATTATTCTGCTTATTGTACAAATAAAATGTCTACCATTGTAACATGTTTACATCTACCAGTGTCTTTATACAGTGGGCACATATACTGTATATTCATAGAGAGAGAGTGTATCTTATTTCTCACACACACACACACACACTATTCAATTACTCGGATTAGATTGGGGGCAGAAGAAACCTGATCGGGACATCCCTACCTCTTTTGCTCACCAAGACTACATTTATTGAAAATACAGTAAAAAGTAGTAATATTGTAAAATATTGTTGCAATTTCAAATAGCTGTTTTCTATTTTAAAAAGCTGAATTTTCAGCATCATTACTCCAGTCTTCAGTGTCACATGGTCCTTCAGAAATCATCCTGATATGCTGCTTTTGTTTTTGAGAAACATATTTTTTTATTATTAACTAGGGCTGCACGATGTGCAGGCTCAATGTGAAAGCACGCACGTGATGGAGATTTACCGCTGATTACAGAACCGGCTTTCTGACAAGATGCGCGTTAAATATCGCATGCGATTTATCGTGCAGCCCTATTATTAACATTGAAAACAGTTGTGCTGCATAATATATTTGTGGATTCGTTGATGAATAAAAAGTTCAAAAGAACAGCATTTATGTGAAATAATTTTTTTTTGCTGTTACTTTTGATCAATTGAATGCATCCTTGCTGATTAAAAGTATTAATTTCTTTAAAAAAAAAAATCTTACTGACCCTAAACCTTTGAACCGTTTTTGGGGAATTGAACCTGTAACCTTGCCATCACTAGCACCCCTAGTTGAGCTACAGGAGCTTTCTTTTCTCCTCCAACCTTGCAGTCCTTCTCAAACACTTCCCACCCACCCTTTCTCAAATTTAAGACCGATCTCACCACCGCTCATCACCAGCCACCTTCTCAATCCCTTTTCCCTCCCTTTACCTCAAGACTTCTCCTCTGATCATTCCTCCGTCTGACATCATACTCTGTGACATCACACTTTGAGTTTAACCATCCTGGTCTTTGTAATGGCTACTCACAGCTTTGTTTTAACCACTTCACCTCGCTGAAATAGCCGCCGTTCAGTTCTCTAGGGAGCCATCATCATCATCTCCCACTGAAATCATACGTCTCGTAATGCTGCTGTGAATGGGTTCGAGTGCCGGGGAATCCCCGCAGCTAGACAGCTGATGAGAGCTCTCGTGGTGTAACGTTTTAAATAAACATTCTTTACGCTCAGTAAACTTCTAAAACCAAGAGCTTGCAATTGAAGACCACCTACCAGATGCTCCATTATTTGCTCTCAAGACTGGAATATGAGCTTCAATGACTCTAATCATTGCATTACTGCTTTTTCTGAAGTAGAATGCATGCAATTACTTTTATATTCTTAAATATAAACTCAAAGGAACTAATTTTAACAACATGTTTTGTTGGCCTTGGTTGCATTATGACCAGTGTTGTCATTGTTAACTAAAAAAAAAATAATAATAAAAACATGTTTTTGCTAGTTAAAATAGAGCTGAAACAAAATAAAAAAATAAATATTAGACAATAAATTTCAGCTTAAAATCCTTAGAAAATTATAAATGTTTTCTTGGCAACTAACTGAAATAAAATAGTTTAAGCTGAAGTGATAAAATTACTAAAATTAACTAACTAATTAACTAAATAAATAAATTAAAGCTAAATCGAAGTATTAAAAACAATAAAAGTTAGAAAAGCACAAAGCATTATGTGAAACATTAGGTGAAAAACTTTAGCTTAAAAAATAAAAAATGAGAAAAGCGTATGGCAAAATTACTAAAACTTTGACTAATATAAAAATAAATAGCAGAAAATATAAAAATTAAAGCTAATTAAAAATATTAGTGCATAAATAAAACTACACTGAAATTTTTTTTGTGTAGGATTTACTTTGAAATGATTTTTACTCAGAACAATTTCATAAATAATTACAAAGAAAACAAGTAACACTGAATTGAACATGACATTTTTAAGTAAAACGTACCCCAATCATTTTTGTTTTATTTGCAACTTCAAAAAATCATTTTTTACAGTGTAAAATATCATTGGTTGTAGCTCATCCGCCACTGTTTGTGTCACAGTCATAATTGGTTCCTCAATTTGTATGCCTTGAGATGTCAAACATATTTACATATTTAGCATGCAAACATAACATAAATACAACTACTGAGGCACTGACAACAGCAGCAGCAGCAGCAGTGAATAAACACTGCCTACAACCGGCAGCAGTAAGCAGAGAGGTGTATTGTGGGACTGGAGTCAGGGGTCATGTGTAGTGACTGACACACCAGTGGCTGCCGAAACACAAAGAATGGAAGTGCAGTATCAGGGTCATAAACTTGTAACACTTACGACACTCTTTGCTTTCACACAGACACGGTTGTGTGGTTTTGTTTCTTGTTTGAGGGTGTGTGTCTCGTAAAGAACAGAGTATGAGCATTTACTATTAGTTTGTTGTCTTTTGTATGTTCAACACGTGTGTTTCTACGGGGAAAACATGGGGTGAAGGGTGTGATCACTTGATCTCTGTGACCAGAGCATGTATTTGGCATTTGTTTTTCCAGTCATAAAGATGACATCTATATTACCATTGATCTGAATTTAATGTGTTGTATTTGTGTTTTTGAATTTCCAATGATTGAATGAGAGATTAATCTAATGTATCTTTTTTTTTTTTTCCAGTGACATATTTGATGCCATGTTCCCGGTCACACACATCGCCGGAGAGACAGTAATCCAGCAAGGTACAGTATGGAAAAACCATGAGTTTAATTTCACACATACACGTTTGCTTCACTATATTAGTTAGGAAATCTCACAGACTTCCATGATTTGTTTATTTATTTATTTTATCAGGTTAGAGATATTTTCTATGGCCTAACCCGACCCCTATCCCAAAACATAACCCTCACAGAAATCTGTGCAAATCTGTAGATTTAGAAATAAAATCTGATTGTCTGATAAATAATTGTCTGATTTATAAACCTTTTTACTTGCTAGTCTGTTCAACAAGGTTTCACTAGTGAGGACATTTTGGACTTCAGAAATATAGTCAAACCTGTACACACAAATGGGCCTCAGGAAATTTCCAAGGGGGCTGTAGGAATTAATTAATTAATACAATTACTGTTAAAATGTATTATTATGCTAAAACAATTTAACTTAAAATAAAATATTAAAAAACATACAAGATCATATTTTTCCTCCCCTTAATGACAATTTATATATATAGGTTTTATTTATTTATTTTTTACATAAAGTTATTAAAATTTCTGGAGTCACAAAATGAATTGTGGTTAGTTAATGTATCAACACTCACCGTTTCTGTTAAAAAAATATATTGGAAAACAGCGTTGTCATAATTACAACAGAAATACTGAAGAAAATACCTTATATTGGTGGGTCTTTGAATATTGTTTTGGAAAATGAAAATGAGGGGCCTTTGAGTCAAAAAGTTGGGAACCATTGCTCTGGACTGCTATTTTTATTTTTATTTTTTAATTAAAGCTAAAAAATAAAAAAAATAAACTACAGACTAACCCAAACTTAACAATCCTAAAAAGAAAACCTTTTGCATTTTTAGTATAAAAAAAAATATATTTTTTTTTCTTTGAAGATGAATGTCTTTAAACCAAGGATATCCAAGATTTAGCTAACTTCTGAGGAATCATTTTACTACAGCCTAAATGGGCTTATGATACATTCCTATTGTTCTGAATATTATAGTATTTTGAAACATAATGGCAAATGAAACCTCTTGTATTTAATGTTACATTACATTTATGCAGTGCATGCATTGGAAAACACAAGAACTCAAACCTAACACAAACCAAAGAATTATCAAAAGTGAGATCTCTACAATGATAAAAATGTGTAGAACCCTAACCCTAACCCTAATATCTCGCAAATTATTACAAAGAAATGGCAAGTGATAAATTGAATTGAATTGGAAATTTGGAAGCAGAAAGACATACACAAAGCATATGGAGACGGTAGCTGAAATCTCCTGTTGTTTCTCCAGAAGAAAAAGACCCCAGAAATGTGTCTCTAGAAAAGATCTCAACTGTATTTGCCATGATACAGTCATCTACAATATAAAGCCAAACAGAGACCAATGCTCTCTATCCTATTCTATCCACATTCAGGCCTATGCCAACAGTCACACTAAGCAATTTTAGGAGAAGACAAGGCTGAATGATGACACCTTCATGTTGAGCTATGGAAGAGCAACCACAAAGTCAAAACTAATACTGATACTAAGTGTACAAATGCATTGCAGATTGTTATGTAAGAAGGAATGGTGGGTGATGAGGGTTTTTTCTACAGTTAAACAATGAGCTCTTTTTTGGTTTCATGTGGAGTTCATAAAGCGATAGGGAACAGTGAATACTCTCTGTGCAATGCCATTCTTGAACCAGAGTTTCGAAGCATTTATCTAACATGGGCAGATTGCCCATAAAATAGATCTAGGAATGTGCAAAGTTTTGTTTGTGTGTGTGTGTGTGTGTGTGTGTGTGTGTGTGTAGAAGTGTGCATGTGTGTGTTTTTGTTCTCGTCAAATATTTGACTGCACTCTGTGACTCAAGGATCTGTTAGCCAAAAAACAGAAACTTCAGAGCAGAGGTGATAAAAGACAGGAAGACAGGAACAATACTAAGAAAAATGAGCTGAACGGGTTGAAAGAGAGAGAGACGGTGTGTAAGCCACTAGTGATCGGTGAGTGTGTTAAGATAAATTGCTTGTGTGATTTACGAGCGTTTAGTGTGTTCGGTGTTAATTAGCCCCGTGAACCCGCGTGAACTCGGCTGCGCACGGATCACGGGCTCTTTTAACTCTTCGGCATGCGCAAACACACACGCTCGCTACCAGGATCCCAAACACCAATTTCAACACACACTCAGACATCAAAGAGCCTCTGAACCTACAGAAATGCTGTAACGGACTTTAACTTGGAAATGTTGGCTTCTGGCACACCCAGCCATCCATTAAAAACTCTCAAATGGGCTGTAGAAGATGAAGCCTGGGAATCATTTAGATGGCACTGCTCTGGGAGGTGCTGACGGTTTTAAAGTGGTGTGCCATCTTTTATCTTTGATATGCACAACTGTAGGTGTGTGTTCTTGGGAAATGGGGAGTCGGAAAGAGATGGAATCTGGGAATGAGACAACATTATTTATCTTTTCCTCCTTTCCATCTTGAATTTAAAGGTCCCATGAAATTAAAATGGGAGTTTGGTGGCTTTTAGGCAATTTTTGGTCATGTAGATGCTAATGCATGCTTAAAAGGTTGAAAAATTTACTTTTAACAGATATATAAATGCATTTAAACGTTATAGACAACCATTCAAAAGTTTGGGATCAGTAATTTTTTTTTTTAAGAAATTAATAATTTTATTCAGCAAAGATGCATTAAATTGACCAAAAGTGACAGTAAAGACTGTCACATTGTTACTACTTCATATAAATGCTGTTAGTTGAAGAACCCTGAAAAAAATTGATCATGGTTTCCACAAAAATATTAAGCAGGACATCTGTTTTCAACAGCATTCTGAAGGATCATGTGACACTGAAGACTGGAGTAATGATGCTGAAAATTCAGCTTTGCATCACAGAAATAAATTACATTTTACAATATATTTAAATTAAAAACATTCTGTTTAAATTGTAATAATATTTCACAATATTGCTGTTTTACTGTAACAAATAATTGCAGCCTTGGTGAGACTTCTTTTGAAAAGATTATAAAAAATCGTACCGACCCCAAACTTTGAAATGGTAGTGTATGTTCAGTATTTTAAATGGATTTTCACAACTGAGCAGAAAAACAAGGAAAAGGAAGAAGGAAAGATTGCTATTTATCGGTAGTGTTTTTCCTGAAGTTGGTCGATTGGAACAAACTCAGCTTTCTCTTGTTTCTTTCTCAGGTGATGAAGGAGACAACTTCTATGTGATTGATCAAGGAGAAGTTGACGTGAGTTCAGTATTTCATACCTGTTTCAGTCAAACTCACACGTGCTGTCGTATATGCAACTTATTAAGATAAACTCATCAAGCCAACTTCATTAAGGCCTAAGAAAGCAAAGAACATGTCGACATCCGCAATACATTCATCCGTATAGCAAGTAGGGTGAATCTTATAAAAAGTTTGTTATATATCACCCTGTTGCCCAGAGAAATGTACACCTTTTTTAGAACCATGAAACAGTTTTTTTTTTTTTCTGACATCTTTGTTTTCATGTATATAACAGTTTATGGATGGGAGTGTACTTAATTGTACTAATTTCCTTAATGCAAAGTTTAAAGTTTGTTTTCCCCATTGACTTTGGAGTGAAATGTTACCTGGGCTTGTTTTTGTGACATTCACCCAGTTAGGAAATGAGAATTGGTGAAACCTCCAGACATATAATAGTAGATCTGTGCTGTATGATAAAAATCTTACCCACTGCCCTTTTTTAACACTACAAAAAACTGGACCACTTACTGCCATTGTTTTACCTTCCCAAAATGGATGGACCCTGGATAAAGTTCAAGTGAAATGATGTGTCATTATCTCCACAGAGAATCCACTTCCCATGTTTTGTTTTAAAGAGAAGATAAGAAGCTTTAAAATAGATTTTCTTTGTAAATGCATTTTTTTTGTTCTCTCAGAAGTTGTGTTTATCATCCTGGGAATCTGAAATAATTTCCAGTTAGTAGTAAACAGGATTGTTTAGTTTACAGGGGTCTTTTCCAATCTTTTCTAGCATTTTATTTTCCCCCAAGAGTCCATTAATAATTGCAGTCATGGCTTCTCGAACTGAAAACGGTCATAGTTTAGTTTTTATGACCATTTTTTTTTATGACCTGTTTTCAGTACTTTACCTGAAAAACTTAGTTTCATAGCGCTCTTTATTCTATTGCATTTATTTGTGCTGTTGTTTGCAATTTTTTTATTTGTTCTTATTTTATTACTGACTTTTTACTTGTGTTTTTTAAAATTAAAATAAAACACTTTAGAGGATCCAACCAGGTTGAGAAGATAGAAGGAGCGAGTGTGTTATCAGATCACCTGTCTCACTCTGAATGCCCTTGACTATCGTTAATATGAAACGAGAGTTCTGTCAGTCCTTGAAGATGGACACGGTATTCATTTTTATAATAGATGTTATAGGTGAATTTCACAAGAAATGTGTGAAGGTAACATTATTGTCATGACAGCACATTTTCTCCCAATTTAACCCGATCTCATGAAAGTGCATATAAATAGTACATTATTAGCAATGTTGAAAACAGTTGTGCTGCTTGTGACACATTTTTTTCAGGATTCTTTGGTGAATAGAAACAGCATTTATATGAAACATAATTTTTTTGTAAAATTATAAAAGTCTTTACTGTGACTTTTGATCAATTTAATGCGTCCTTGATGAATAAAAGTACTAATTTCCTTGAAAAAATCATACTGACACCAAACTTTTGAACAGTAGAGCAGAAATGTGAGTAATCATATGTTAATGTGCTCGTGCTTGTGACATCATAACATTAACAATTTCTGATTGGTCCATTTTTGAATCTAGAGATTTTAGAGTATGCCTACATAATTCGTCCATATTTATTTTATTTTATGTTAAAAGATCAAGAAAAACCCTGCTGATCTCAGTATTTTTAATGTTATTAACAGTCTTGTTTGTCTTGAGTCTGTTCTCCTTGTGTATGTGCTCAGTGATCGGCTGTGTGATTTATCAGTGCTAATATTTCTCCGAGGGCACGTTGAGTCAGCACTGGGTCACTGCCACATCAGATTGCGGCGCATCGAGCTCTTGGGTCGGAGCCAGCGCACTGAGACCAGCAGAGCCCTGCTCGCTCAGTCCACCGTACGCCATGCTAATGCTGTCAAACACATGCAAAATACAGACATTAACCCGTCTTCTCATACGTGTAAGTGAGAACACACAGCTCCATAAACCTCCCAGACAAACGCAAACGTGCTGGAATGCATCTCCAATGCGACGGTGATGTCTCTCATTAGCAGAAAGGATAAATCTGCTGTGACTTTGGAGCGCGTAGTACTGCATGCTAATTGGGAAAGTTGGAATTCATTAACACGCACACACTCTTGTGAAGAAAACATGCACTTTCAATTCTATCCTCATTGGTGTAATACAAATATAATTTCTGAAGTGACATTGAAGACTGGAGTAATGATGCTGAAAATTCAGCTTTGCATCACAAGAATAAATTACATTTGAAAATATGTTCAAGTAGGAAACTGTAATTTTAAATTGTAATAATATTTCACAATTGTACTGTTTTTAATCAAATAAAATAATAAATGCACTTTAAAAAAACCTTTTCAATCAATTATATTAAATGACATTATTAATGCAAATTCGATTTTATTTTATAATTAAATCTGCTGTGACTTTGGAGCGCGTAGTACTGCATGCTAATTGGGAAAGTTGGAATTCATTAACACGCACACACTCTTGTGAAGAAAACATGCACTTTCAGTCACTTGAAGTAATAAATGACTTAAGGGATAGTTAACCCAAAAATTACAATTGTGTCATCATTTACTCACCCTCAAGTTGTTCCAAACCTGTATGAATTCCAAACCTGTATCTGCTAAACACACACACAAAAAATATATTTTGAAGAATGTGGGTAACCAAACAGTTGCTGGTAGCCATTGACTTCCATAGTATGGAAAAAAAAATTGCTATAGAAGTCGATGGCTACCAGCAGCTGTTTGATTACCAACATTCTTCAAAAATCTTCTTTTGTGAAATGATGACTTAATATGCGAAAGAAGGCTTGTTGCAAGAATAGTAAGCACACTTTCTCACCTTAAGTGACTTAAGTGACGGCTCTAAGGAGGGCCGGACAGAAGATGAGCGTTTATTTCTGCCCCATGTGTTAGTTTTTTTTTATCTCTCCTCATAAAATCAACAAGTGGATTGTGTGTCCACAGGTGAAACTGAACCAGCCTCTCCTCGCGTTTCTCTGTGTGTGTGGCTGTTGAAAACCACATGCTGACACACAGATTCATTGAGATATTCTCTTCGCTAGCATCTTACGGTTATGCCAAAATGAAAGACAAATCGTGTGTCCACAGAACCAGCCTCTGTGGAAAATGAGAAAGAGGCTCCTTGTGCTTCTCTGTGTGTGGCTGTTGTGGCTGTTGTGCTGACACACAGATTCATTGAGAGATTCTCTTCGCTAGCATCTTACGGTTATGCCAAAAGGAAAGACAAAACAGGGGAAAGAGTCTTGAGGTGTTATCTAATTCCTCGTAAGACACTTTAGAGGATCCAACCAGGTTGAGAAGATAGAAGGAGCGAGTGTGTTATCAGATCACCTGTCTCACTCTGAATGCCCTTGACTATCGTTAATATGAAACGAGAGTTCTGTCAGTCCTTGAAGATGGACACGGTATTCATTTTTATAATAGATGTTATAGGTGAATTTCACAAGAAATGTGTGAAGGTAACATTATTGTCATGACAGCACATTTTCTCCCACAACCCGATCTCATGAAAGTGCGTATAAATAGTACGCCAAATAAAAATGAAAACTCGTCATATTGATACGCAAAAATGGACTTTGGCGTGAATATGCTACGCGATGAGTAGGTTTAGGGTTGTGGGGTAGATGCGTAGTATCATATGTACGCGAAAACTGCGTATCATATGCACGCCAGCAAATTTCGTATCATATGCACGCGAAAACTGCGTATCATATGCACGCCAGCAAATTTCGTATCATATGCACGCGAAAACTGCGTATCATATGCACGCCAACAAATTTCGTATCATATGTACGCGAAAACTGCGTATCATATGCACGCCAACAAATTTCGTATCATATGTACGCGAAAACTGCGTATCATATGCACGCCAACAAATTTCGTATCATATGCACGCGAAAACTGCGTATCATATGCACGCCAACAAATTTCGTATCATATGCACGCGAAAACTGCGTATCATATGCACGCCAACAAATTTCGTATCATATGCACGCGAAAACTGCATATTATATGCACGCCAAACACGTGCATAGCATATACACGCCAAAGTCCATTTTTGCGTATCAATACCACGAGTTTTCGTTTTTATTTGGCGTACTATTTATACGCATTTTCATGAGACCGGGCTCCCCAATTCTATCCTCATTGGTGTAATACAAATATAATTTCTGAAGTGACATTGAAGACTGGAGTAATGATGCTGAAAATTCAGCTTTGCATCACAAGAATAAATTACATTTGAAAATATGTTCAAGTAGGAAACTGTAATTTTAAATTGTAATAATATTTCACAATTGTACTGTTTTTAATCAAATAAAATAATAAATGCACTTTAAAAAAACCTTTTCAATCAATTATATTAAATGACATTATTAATGCAAATTCGATTTTATTTTATAATGCAGTAGAATTAAGAATTTTGGCAATCTTGGTATATGCTTAATTGTCATGAAAATCGTAGTAATCCTAAAAACGGGACGATGGATGAAACCAATCATTATTTCCCAATGAATATTCTGTTTCATCCAGAAGTATTATGGAAGTCAGATGCATCGTGAATGCTGCTTTCTTCAATTAACCATACAAATAATGCATATTCATGTGCATTATACAGAAATAAGCAATGATCTTTCTCTCTGCAGGTGTATGTAAATGGTGAATGGGTGACTAGTATCGGAGAGGGTGGTAGTTTTGGAGAGTTAGCCCTGATATACGGAACTCCTCGAGCTGCTACTGTGAAAGCCAAGACTGACCTGAAACTGTGGGGAATAGACAGAGACAGCTACAGACGCATCCTCATGGTAATAACACACTCACACACTTACGTTACACAAGGTGAATAAATTATGTCAGTAATGTCAGAATTGTCATTTTTGGGTGAACTGTCCCTTTAAATGACAAGGCCTCCCTCAGTCCACTCAGATGGCATGACATTCCAGATTGAAACTCTTGACCAAACTAAACCGAACTTTCCACCCTTTGGCATTCTTTAACTAAATACTTACTGTCTCGCTCAACAGCGTAATCTGCATCGAGTGCTCCATCTGTAGCAGTGTTTGTGTTTGTGTGTGTGTGTGTTGTGGGAATGAATAAATGAATATTTCTAATGGCCCGCGAGCCTCTGTGGAAACTGTTCTCCACACAGGGCCTGACAAGGAACCAATTTAGATTTGTCTGTCAGGCCGTCGTTTGTTTTTTCTTTCTCTTTAGTGTCTTCTTCGCTTTCTTATGCAAACACACACTTTTCATGCTGACTTACTCTCTTAACACACACACACACACACTGCGTTCTGTGAGAGGAGAGACAGCCTGTCAGCTTTCAGCTGTGCTGAGTTGCTCTTAATTAAACTAATAAATTATTGTGTGCGTGGCTGCAGTCAATTAGGGATAAGTCAGTAATTCACAACGCTGTTTATAAAATGTGTCATATTCCATATGTCCACAGTGTGCATAAAATCTTGACGGTGTGTATCATTATGTGTGTGCAAATATACCTGGACCGTATAGAAAACATATATTACATCTCAATATTTTTCAGCCTTTTGGTGTTATTTGATGGATATCTTGTTATTCAATCTGAAATTACTTTTTTCCCCAATCAAATAATATCTTACTAGTCTAGATAATATATAATAATGATTGAGTATTTTATGTCTTGATTTAACATGTTCAACATACATCTTGAAAGACTTTTTTGATTGAATTGATGATTAAAAAAATATGCATTTATTTATATATTTATTTATTTATTTTATTTATTATATTATAATATATTATATATATTTTTTACATTACATTAATTAGAATTTGAATAATTAAAATTTAGTATTTTACTGCTTGATTTAACATTCCCAAAATACTAAATTTGAATAATTAATGTAATGTCTTCCATAGTATGGAAAAAAAAATTGCTATAGAAGTCGATGGCTACCAGCAGCTGTTTGATTACCAACATTCTTCAAAAATCTTCTTTTGTGTTCAACAGAAGAAAGAAACTCATATAGGTTTGGAACAACTTGAGGGTCAGTAAATGATGACAGAATCCCTTTAATATGCGAAAGAAGGCTTGTTGCAAGAATAGTAAGCACACTTTCTCACCTTAAGTGACATGTTGGCCGGCTCTAAGGAGGCTGTGACCCGAACCTGTTCCAGTGGCTGGTCTGGAGAGCAGAGATACCTGTGGAATGTGTCTTAGATGGCTGGCAGGACGCCTGGCCCAGGCCGGACAGAAGATGAGCGTTTATTTCTGCCCCATGTGTTAGCTTTTTTTTGTTATCTCTCCTCATAAATTCAACAACTGGATTGTGTGTCCACAGGTGAAACCGAACCAGCCTCTGTGGAAAATGAGAAAGAGGCTCCTTGTGCTTCTCTGTGTGTGGCTGTTGAAAACCACATGCTGACACACAGATTCATTGAGATATTCTCTTCGCTAGCATCTTACGGTTATGCCAAAATGAAAGACAAATCGGGGAAAGAGTCTTGAGGTGTTATCTAATTCCTCGTAAGGCACTTTAGAGGATCCAACAGGGTTGAGAAGATAGGAGCGAGTGTGTTATCAGATCACCTGTCTCACGATGAATGCCCATGACTATCATTAATAAGAAACAAGAGTTCAGCCAGTCCTTGAAGATGGAAATATAGCCACTTTGTATTTTGTTTAAATGTGTCTTTTTATGTACAATTTATCAGTTCATCGTATTCATTTTCATGATCTTATTCAAAATGTAATAGGTGAATTTCACAAAAAATCTGTCAAGAAATGTGTTTGATTTCTTCTTCTTTTTTTTTTTTGTAACATTATTGTCATGACAGCACATTTTCTCCCAGTTCTATTCTCATTGGTGTAATACAAATATAATTTCTAAAGGGTCATGTGACACTGACTGAAGACTGCCGTAATGATGCTGAAAATTCAACTTTGGCAATAAATTACATTTTAAATTGTATTCAGATAGAAAACAATTATTTTAAATGGTAATAATATTTCATAATATTACAGTATTTTTAATAATATAAATATAATGAATGCACTTTTAAAAAATCTTCTTTCTTTCAAAAAATATGAATACATTTTATATAATACATTTTTTCAGTAAAAACCAATTATATTATATTATATATACAAAATTACCATTTTTACTTTTTTTTTTATTAAATAAATGTGGCATTGGTGAACAAACTTTTTTTCTAAAAAAATGTATTTTATTTTATTTAAACAAATTCGATTTTATTTTACATTGCAGTAGTAAAATAAAAGAAGAATTGAGAATTTTAGCAATCTTGGTATATACATAATGGTCATGACAATGAAAATAGTCCTAAAAATGCCCTGATGAATCATTATTCCTATCATGAATATTCTGTTTAATTCAGAGTATTATGGAAGTCAAATGCACTGTCAAAGCTGTTGTCTTCAATTAATCGTATAAGTTATGCATATTCAGGTGCGTTGTAAACAGAAATAAGCAATGATTTCTCTCTCTCTCTCTCTGCAGGTGTATGTAAACGGTGAATGGGTGACTAGTATTGGAGAGGGTGGCAGTTTTGGAGAGTTGGCCCTGATATACGGAACTCCTCGAGCTGCTACTGTGAAAGCCAAGACTGACCTGAAACTGTGGGGAATAGACAGAGACAGCTACCGCCGCATCCTCATGGTATGAACACACTCACACACTTACATTACACAGGGGCAATAAATGACGTCAGTAATCTCAGATTTGTCATTTTTGGGTGAACTGTTCCTTTAAATGACAAGCCCTCCCTCCGTCCGCTCGGATGTCATGACATTCCAGATTGAATATTTATTTTATTTATTATATTATAATATATTATATATATTTTTTACATTACATTAATTAGAATTTGAATAATTAAAATTTAGTATTTTACTGCTTGATTTAACATTCCCAAAATACATTCTGAAATGCATTTTGATTGAAATGATGATTTAAAAAGATTTATTTATTTATATTTTTCACATGAATGGAAATTTTTATGATTTTTTTTATGATTGTACAATTTGTACAAGTTTAATTTATGCTGATTGTAATAGAAGATGTAATGAGAATTAGATTTTTTAGATTTATATTATTCATTTAAATATATTAATTTATTTTTATTTTATTAATTTTTGTTTTATTTATTTAAAAAAAAAAATGATTATTACCATTTTTACTTTTTTTTTAATTAAATAAATGTGGCATTGGTGAACAAACTTTTTTTCTAAAAAAATTTATTTTATTTTATTTAAACAAATTCGATTTTATTTTACATTGCAGTAGTAAAATAAAAGAAGAATTGAGAATTTTAGCAATCTTGGTATATACATAATGGTCATGACAATGAAAATAGTCCTAAAAATGCCCTGATGAATCATTATTCCTATCATGAATTATTTATTTATTTAAAAAAAAAAATGATTCCCTCGTTATCCAATTAATAATACCCAATATATTGTAATTATTCAATGTATTGCCCAGACTAACTTGCAAGGAAAACACACTGTATTTGGTCAGTTATTTGAGTAGACATGTACACACATAAATATGCACTAGAATGTGCCTCAAGTTTCTATCAGAAGTGCTTTAGTTCACATTTTATACGCATGGTCTTTCTCATTTGCTCTAGTAAAGAGATCCCCACCGACACTTATTCAAGCTCCGCAGAGTCTGTCTATAGAAAATACATACTGTTTATTTGGGATATGTGAGTGAACTAATCCATTAAGCTTGACCAGCACTTGCCGTAACGCTGTAGATCACGATGTCATGCTTCACTTCAGTGTCTGCAGGTCATCTTAGATGTTCTGATGTTTTTGTATCTTCTTCTCAAACACCAGGGGTGGAGAGGTCACTGACCTCGTAAGAGAGAAGAGCTTCACGGTCAGTCAGTGGCTGGATATTTGCGTATACGTTTCGTTGTCTCAGATTTGAAGGTGGTTTAGTTAATAAAGCTTTACAGTCCATCTCAGAGGAACATTTTTACTGCGATGTTTCTCCTAAAATTAAATGGACTCAGATGACGCAATTGTTGACATGCAGTAAGAGAAATAAAAATCTAAGCAAGCCACATGAGATGACTTAAATCTGAGAAATCTGTCTCCACTTGTCCTCCATTTAATCTCATTCCTGTCTTGAAGAAACAATTGAGACAATAAGGAGTTCATTTGTGATTTTTCTCTCGTACGAGACCGTCTCCACTTAATGTGTTTCTGTGTGTTTTATTTGAGTATTAGAGAGAGACCGAGCTGCAACAGACAAGACTAGGAACAAAGGAAGCCAAAACTTTCCTTTAATCTAGATGTTTATAGCAGAGTGTTTGAGGAAAGTCCCCCGGCTTTGTTCTCAGCGCCGTGTTTCTTATTCTTGTTCCGTAGAGACTGATTAGAGGGCAGGAGATTCTGTTACCTGATGTCCTCCATGTGTCTTCTAACTGCTGCTTCAATGTTTTTCTAGGGAAGCACGTTGAGGAAGAGGAAGATGTATGAAGAGTTCCTCAGTAAGGTGTCTATACTTGGTAAGTAATGAGAGCTTTAGTAGAGTCCCGTCAAAAGATTTCGATCTGTAAAACCATTTTAGAGTAAATTGTTGCATTAAACACAAATAAATACCTTGTGTATTAAACATGGGAAAATCAAAATTGTGCAAACTGTCCGCGAAACTATTCTTATAAAAAATGTTGCATTAAATGCAACGCAAATTTGCGTACTGTACTGATAACGTTTTACAAGTCTCATTTGTTAAAGTGCCCCTATTATGCCATATGCCAGTCGCTTACAATAGGTTTACATGCATGCAAGGTCAAAAAACACTTTCGTTTTCTCAAAATATGCATTTAATATCACCTAATTTTCCAACGATTCTCAAATGATTCATTCGAAGCAGTTCTAAGATTCAGTCTCTCTAAACCCCTCCTTTCAGTGAGCCTACTCTGCTTTGATTGGTCAGATGGCCCAGTCTGTTGTGATAGGTCTACCGTGTACAGCACATGTCGGAAACGATATGCCCATTGCCATAGTTTGGTATTTTGAACGCTCGATAGAAAATATAAACATCTATTATTTATCATACTTAAAGGTTGTGATTCAGTGGAGCCAGCTGGTCCAAATAAACTAGGTACTGAGCTGTCTTTCAAGAAGAAGCATTTTGTGAAACCCGCGTTGAACTCCCAGTCGTCAGTAAAATGACGGGAACATAAAAAAGATTGGTGTTGTACTGCTGTGATACAGTGGGGGAAAAAAATAATTTTAACCACTGGTTCTTTGCAGCCTCATCATTCGGAAGTGAAAATGAAATGAATTTACTTTCACAGCGTTAGGACAGCGTCTTCTTAACATGATGTTAACCACATGAACAATTCAACTTGTTCGCGGCCAGCCAATGTAGAGCATAGGTGGGCATTATGCAAATGTGTTACCCGTCGAATTACTAATGACTCGTTTAGGGGATTCAGAGTCGATTCTTCATTTTGGGAGACAGTAACTTTATTTATCGTGCACTTTTGGCTTTACAACTTTGCAGATCATCTACATTCACATACAGCTACAATACACACTGCACGAAGGGCAATATTTGAAATGGCATAATAGGGTCCCTTTAACATTAGTTAATGCATTTGCTAAAGTTAACTATCAATTAGCAATATATTTTTACAGCATGTATTAATCTTTGTTAATGTTAGGTAATAAACATTCTTCATCGTTTGTTTGTTAATTCACACTGTACAGTACACTCTAAAAAATGCTGGGTTAAAAAGGGACAAACCCAGCTATTGGGTTGTTTTCGGTTGGGTTCAAAACAACCCAACCGCTGGGGCAAAACAACCCAATAGCTGGGTTTGTCCCTTTTTAACCCAGCGCTGGGTTATATTTAACCCAGCATTTTTTAGAGTGTAGCTAAGTACTATTAGATACAATACAATTATAGGTACTATTCATTGTTAGGTAATGTTAACTAGTTGTTATTTAATGTTAACTAGTTAATGTAGTTGACTGGTACAAGAAATGAAATCTTATTGTAAAGTGTCAACTTATATTTTTATAAATTATTGTTTAAGAACAATAATTATTATTAACCCTAACTTATTAATGAAACATGAGAAAAATGACATTCTGTGTACAACATTTGAAAAACTTTCCTGCGTAAATCAATGCCTCCATGTAAACAAACCCAGGCAGAATGAATTTCAGTGTAAATTGTTCTTAAAAACATTCATATGTATATTATTTTTATTAATAAAAGCATTGGTTTATGCTTGATTTACACATAAATTAGTTCTGCTCATGTTTTATAAATGAGGCCTGTTGAGTTTAAATAATCTGAAAACTTCTAGTACACTGAAAAAAAGTTGGTGTACATGATTCTCTCAGAAATTGATAGTAAATTTCATAAACAATTGCAAAGAAACAGCAAGTATCACATTAAATTAAACATGAAACTTTGGAGTAGAAAAGGTAAAATAGTGTTTTTTTTGTAAAACGTACAGTTCTCCAATAATCTTTGCTTTATTTACAACTTCAAAAAAATCTTTTTTTTCACAGTGTATGCAGGTGTACACCATTAAAAATACATTTGGAGAACAGTTTTAATTTCCACAACATTTTATTCTCTGGTTCTTTAGAAAAGCATCATGTGCTGGTGCTTTAAATAACTCTGAATTCAAAAACACTGATCAGAAGAACCTATAAATGAACATTTAACAACCTTTCGTTTTTTAACTTCAAAGCTCTACATAGCAACTCAAGAACCAAAAATGTTGCCAAAAAGTGGTTCTTTAGAAGCTGAAGGTTCTACACTTTTAAAAGGTTCTTTATTAGCATCTGTGGTTCCCTGAAGAACCTTTAAAGGGGTCATATGATGCGATTTCAAGTTTTCCTTTCTCTTTGGAGTGTTACAAGCTGATTGTGCATAGATAAGAACCATGAAGTTGCAAAGACTAAAGTCTCAAAACCAAAGAGATATTCTTTATCAAAGTTAAGACTCTGCCACGCCCCCCTAAAACGGCTCATTCTAACACGCCCCCACATATCTACGTCAATATGTGGAAATATTAGCATAATGCCACCCAAATGTGCACGCAAAGAAAGAAGGCGTGGTTTCAGGAACAGCAGTAGTGTTGATGCAGCCATGTCAGTGCGAAAGACAGATTTCAGCTGTCTTAACCGTGGCTTGTGTACTGCAAACACATATTCATCACTGTGTCTGTCACGAGACTCTGTTCCCCTTTCAGGCTCTGTCTTTACATTTACTTTGAAAGCTGAAGCTCGCTATTATGGTAAGGGGCGTTACATTTCCGACAGGTGCTTGTGGTGTTCGGCCAATCACAGTGCACTGGGTCAGCTGGCCAATCAGAGCGGACTGCGCTTGTCAAAGGAGGGGGCTTTGTAGAAAACGAAGCGTTTGAGAGAGGCGGGGCATAGAGGACCTACAATAATGTACAGTATTTGAAAAATAATGTGTTTTTTGAACATTAAAGCATGTCAACATATTCTGTTACACCAAATACACAAAATAATGATCTTTAAAAAAGCATCATATGACCCCTTTAACATCCAATTGAACTTTCATTGCACAAAAGGTTCTTTATAGTGGAAGATGGTTCTTTAGATTATTAAAATGTTCTTTACACTAAGAAAAAGAACTGTTGACTGAAAGGTTTTTTGGGGTATCATAAATGGTTCTTCTATGGCATCGCAGCAGAAACCCCCAAATTGGAACCTTAAATTTTAAGAGTGTATGCCGAATTTGAAGAACCCTCTATGCTAACCTGAAGAACCCTTATTTCTAAGAGCGTAGCCTTGATTGACAGACAAAGCTGCGGCACGCAACACCAGTTCTACCCTGACTTCCAGTGGTTTTGTTTGGTGAGAAAGACAAAGAGGAACGAGAGAGATGAACATTAAGATGGTCAGTTCTGCGGTGACCCCTCGTCCTTCAGCACCCTGAGGTCACTCGTCGTTCTAAATGGGGTTATTAAATAGCTGAACAAACACACTCCTCCTCTCGGTTTCCTCTGTTTTTCTTTCTCTCGGTGTTCTCCATTTCACAGCCCTGTCATGGCCTGTCTTCAAACGCCCAGCTCTCTCACTCTCCAAACCTCTTTTCTTCGCTCGTCTTCTCGCCTTTGAGGGGGGCATGTTTTCATTTGCGCAAGATTTCTTTGAGATTGTGGTGAAATCGGCACTGTTTCGTGAAGTCTTGGAGTGTTTTACGATGGTTTGTGAGGTCTTGACACTTGTGAGGTCTTGCGCAAAATATATAAATATATTTAATATTATTAAATATTGTCTTGCCTTCATTAAAAACAGGAACAATAAGCAATAATAAGCAAATATTTATTTTTATTGTGATATCGGAGCATGTAAATAAAACATAATAATTATATATATATATATATATATATATATTTATTTATTTATAAAATATTATTAAATAAAAAATAATTTCTTTTTGTCTTCAGTTAAAAAAAATGTGTGGAAAACACCTTGATTATTCATTTTAAAATGATTTTTAACGTATTGAGATGAAAAAAAAACTTTTAAATATTAAGATATGTATTAAATCACAAAAATGTTTATTGTCATATTGGTGCATATAGATAATAATTAAACGTATATAAATATATTTAATATTATTAAATATTACATAAAAATGTATATTCTGTCTTGTTCTCATTTAAAAAAAGCAATGATAAGCAAATATATATTTTTATTTATTATATAAAAAGAATTTTCTTTTTGCCTTCATTGTGTATTTTTGTATATTACGCTACAATATCCTAAAAGAGTAAGGTGCTAACATAGACACCCACATACACACTTTTTTTCTTAGTTGAAGCATGCGACGTTGATTTTTCCCTCACTAACAGCTCATGTTACGACTGAAGCAGGTGGATGTCTGCCCAGGCGTGAGGATGTCTTAGCCAGCCTGATAAAGTGACCATTAGTCTGGGGCATGCAGACAGACCGGCCCCAACACACAAACACACACCTCAGCCCCACACAACAGCCCCCTTTTAACTTAATAGTTAACACTATTATGAGCTCTGTTCTGAGAATGATTGTCCGCTACTGTCCTGCATTGGGATGATGGGAAATGCACTGTGATGGGATGATGGGAAATGAAGAATGACAGAGCGAGCAAACAGTGAAGGGCAGAGGCGTTCATTATTGTTTGCAGCTGGAGGATGGAGCGGCGCTGCAGAAGTCCAGAGGGCTTTAGTGTGGTCGTGTTCGTGTGTGGTACGCCTGTGTGATGGATGCTGGAAGGTGGGAAGGGTTTGTGGAATGTGGTGGGCATTGAATGATGGCTTGGGCGGTTTCTTTTCTCACGGCCACGGCTTCAATAGTCCACGAGCACTTCAAAAGTCCACTTCTAGGTCGAGATGCAGTCCTCACATTCTGCAGGAAGTTCATGACAAGCCTTGGTGTCTTTCTGATTAGTCGGTTTATTTATAAAAGCATTAGTCGGAGTCTCTGATGACACACCCACTGCTCACTCACGGACCACCGGATGCTCGTTGCACACACAAAAAAGCGAAGCTTTCAATGGTCTCTAAAAATATATCTGTCTGTGGCTGCTTGTTACTTTTGGTTAGATGGATATTCAACAACTTTTCATTATAACTTCTATGCCTTTTATTTCAGTGCATTGCTGCTTTGTTGCACCATGATGTTATCATAGTATTATCAGATTTATAACATCTAGAGGTGTTACGATTCACTTGTTTTCCCGAAGCATTGATCACTAATGCTGCTGATCCATACATTTTTGGATCGTGAGTTATTTGCTTCGGTCAAGAATTGATTTAAAATGCTAAAAATCGAATGAGTTGCGATTTGGGAAAGTATTATTCAATATTTTAAAATATATAAATAATTTACTTGCATGCACAAATGAATGGAGATGTAGCACACTATCCTCATGCACATACCATTGATAAAGTGGCCAAATTATTGCATGGCTACTACTACTGAAATGAAACGCTTTATTTTTATTGTCATATTGGTGCATGTAAATAAAACTTTAGTTAAATATTATATATAAATATATTAAATTTTTTTTTTTTAATTATATTTTTTGTCTTCATTTAAAAAAGAAAAAACATTGTGTAGAAAACATACCTTGATTATTCATTTAAAAATTATTTTTAATGTATGATTTTTATTTGCGTGAAAAACCACAGCTATTTTCTATAAGATAAAATAAGATAAAAAAACCTCATGGAAATAATTGTTTTATTTTATTTTTTTTATATATAAATACTTTATACTTAAATACTTAGGTTTTCTCAGCACTAAAGTATTTTATCAGCTCATTGCACTCTTTGTTATATTCTAAGTAGCATGTTTTACATGTATTTAATGTGTTCACGTTCAGGTTTCTGGGTGCAATAAACAGTCTTAAGAGGATAGCTCACCCAAAAAGGAAAATCTGTCATCATTTAGTCATCCTCAAGTTGTTCAAATCCTATATGAGTTTCTTTCTTCTAATCTTCTGCTGAACAGTGAACACAAAAGAAGATAATTTGTAGACTGTGGGTAACCAAACTGTTGACCAAATCAAATCTCATTGTGAATCGGATTGAATCAAATTGTTCTGAATCTGCAGAAATAGTTCCTGAATTGAATTGAAAACCTATTGTAAATTGAATCTATTCACTTTCTCCCCAAATATTCACACCCCCTAACAACATTGTTATTATTATTATTGTCGACCCTTGAATCCTGAGTTCAAGGGTTGAAGTTAAAGGGGTCATATGATGTTGCTAAAAAGAACATTATTTTGTGTATTTGGTGTAATGAAATGTGTTTATGCGGTTTAAGGTTCAAAAAACACATTATTTTCCACATACTGTACATTATTGTTTCTCCTCTATGCCCCGCCTCTCTGAAACGCGTCGATTTTTACAAAACTCATCGGTCTGAAAAACGAGGTGTGCTCTGATTGGCCAGCTATCCAATGC